GCGGAGCGAACGAAATAGAGCTTCAGATATGATTATCCCAAATTCAGCGTTGGGATCAATTCCGAACAAAGCTAAGTTCTTTGTAAGAAACTCCGACGCGATATTTTGCGAGCGGGTGTAGGATCTCCAGAGTTCTATTTCCGAACTGATCCCTCCGAGTCGAGATCACTCAAGAGGGACAGGAACGTCCCGCCATGATCATTGAGGATAGACACCGCTCGTTGAATGCGCTTTTATTAGGAAAGATCAGCGATAACAGATTCAGACTCGATGGCACTGGGGTCGACCGCTCGCATGCTCAATGTCTCGAGCCGATCACGGAGCGGCTCCTCAGTCGCTGTCACCAATATTTGCTCGTTGGATCTTGATTCTGTATCTGGAGTTGTGTTGTCATCATCTTGCCTTCCGCTGTCGTCCGCGGGAGCTTCGTCACTAGTTTCGCTCCGACCGTCAAGTTCGTCACCTGTCCCTTCCTTCTCTACGCCTTCGTCTTGAGACCCGGCATCTCCCTCAGAGTCCTCGAATGCCCCAGACGCTACCAAGGCGAAAAGAACAAGAGCGAACAGAACAGCTGGAAGGGGAGTACCTTCAAAGTCAGCCCTCAGGGGAACATTGAGCCCCGTCTGAACTTAAAGGTTGATAGAACACTAAGGAATGTCCCGGAGATACTCACCTGATTTCATGTTTGGTGAGTCTATGCGTCGAATACACTCGGTCCGGAAGGAATGTCTGCTTTTAAAATGAGCTCGACAGGATCTCTCTGCCCGCTGGATCTGCGCTGCATGCCAGAGGCTTTTCTTCCCACTTCCGGACATTAAAGTCACAATCACAAATCAGTATCAGGGATTGCGCTTTCGAAGCAAGAGAATAAGGGAAATACCCGGAGAACACCGCACACGTGGAGTTGCGGCACGCTCGATGTAGGTAGAAACCTTAGAGGGCTCGCTGGTCCGCCAGCTCGGCGAGGGAATCGTCTCATTGCTCAACTCACAGAATTTCGCTCAGAGCCCTCGATATAGTCATGTTCATGACGGCTCTATCGTCTCGAGGAAAGCTTCTACTTCCAAGTCCATCTCGAGCATAAGCGGCGGAATCCTCTGCAAACGCCCTCCCCCGTCCCGAATCACCTCACTTATTCTTTGAATTTTGAGGAAAAAATTCGCAAACGTGACCATCCTCCTACTCGCCTCGCTACTTCAGAGATTCGAACCTTCAATAGCCAACTCGCGGCCTGTATTTCGCCTCATGCATCGTCTCTGAAGCGACCTGAGCGAATTGATCGTTGACCTCCTATCCCGCATGTCTTCCGCGTGCTTTGGAGACGATGGCTCTTCAACCTTTTCGTCGTTCTCCTCACTCCGCATTCGCAGCTCAACCTCATTCACTAAGTTCGTGCTGATACTCAGCTGCTCCCGGTGTGAATGGTGATACGAGGTTGGAATCAGACTCATAACAACCCTGGCTGAATGTCTAGACTCAGCTGACGCCTTTGCCAATTATTACGAGGAGGAGCACGAGCCTAATCCAACTACAGCTCACAGCAATTGTGCATTCACGGAATGTTGAGATCACAGGATTGCCGCCTCTAGCGCGCCATGACGAAGAGCCTTGGATCTCATCTCGTTAAATAAAATACATCCGGTCTCTGTAGTGGAGTCCCCAATCCTATTCCGAGAGACCGGCAATGTTTTGAAACTGGAGTCTTAGAATAGTAGTTATCCTTCTCGAGTCTACTGCTCTGGGAAGACTCGTCGCTTATTCCGGAGGAGTTGACGCTTTCGGGATTTTGTAGCTTGAAAATACGCAAACTTCGTGAAAGGAAAACGTCGCATACATAGAGGGGAAAAGTACCAATGTCGCGCCATATTCGATGGAAGGAACTGATGATGAGGCCACATTGGAAGACCCACATTGGAAATACATTAATGGTAATTGATTATAATTAGAGCTCGGAAGTTCAGGCATTATGCCTTAAATGCCTATATCTGCTTTTTTCGGCATTTTTTGATGTAAAATGCCTGTTTCATTTTTTTCGTGCCTAGAGTGCCTTTTCGAGCTTCTGATGGGCCGAATCCCGAGGATTTCGGGGGAAACTGAGGGTTTCTCATTGAGAACGGTGATGAGATGAGGTCGGCGAAGCTAGTTTCCAGGAGCACATCTTGCTCTCGACAAGTTCCGATGCTCCGCCAGAGCGCGCAAAAAAAAATCGTCCTTGTAAAATGCTCGTATCGGATCGGCGTCGATTACTCACCGATGGGAATCCATGTTAGCACATGAAATTCTCACAATACGACACTGATGGACGCTTCGATGCGTGTGTTTCCCTGCCTATAACGCCTATTTTGCCCAGTTTCGGTGCTTTTTTCGAGGGTTTTCAGTGCCTTTCCGCCTGCTATTTCTGAGATTTTTGAGTGCCTGAACTTCCGAGCTCTAATTATAATTAACCGAAGAGCCGCCAGAAGGCATGGGGGGAAATTCTACTGGACGTCCATGTCGTCGACATGATCATGAGCACAAGCCTCGACCGTCTCATGACCGAAACAATGGATGGCAAATCAGAACATTTTATAATCACGACATTTCCCCCCCCTCCCGTGTCTTTTCTTGGAATGCGATAAACGCAACACCAGACCAACAACGTCTGGACGAATGAAGGAAAACATACCGAGATGTCCTAAATCCAGTTCGAGATACAGACTCTCCGAGCTCAATCCGTACCTGCTGATCCAGGAATTGAACCGATTGAGCGAACGAGAACACCTCGATTGGAACGACATCACCGAAAACTCGGCGGAAGCCTGACGTACCTCACGATAGCCTTCAGAGTCGACATTGCATTCATCATCGGCTGGCTCGGTCGCCATCTAGGCAATCGACAATTGATGTCTCAGCCCTGACCGAGAGCCTAGAATTTCACAGGGACGCTTATTACGCAGCGTGCAAGGGGACGCGTAAGAGCCTTCGCGGTCTTTCTGGTTTGCACGCTCACCAGCGGTCCGGTTCTCCGGGAATGCCATGCTCAAGAATCAGTCAGTCAATCGACAGAAAGGGGATTCATAAGCAAGAACGGAAAAACTATCTACCACGTGCTATTTGAGTGCACATCACTTCATTGGAGAAGAACTCGTGAAAGATTTGCATTCCAGGAGCTCCTGGATCGTGGAGTGCTGCGAAACACGAAGGAACCACTAGAGCATTTGGAGAAGGAGACTCGACCGATCTGCTGAGAAATCGTTCCTGAGATGTTGTATCCCGTGATATGGTATCGCAGGATCATAAGTGTCACTCGAGTCGCTAAATCAGCCCTTGCGCTCGAAATGCGATACAAAGAATCGGGCATCCCAGTATTCACCTATATCAGGGGACAACTCAGCGGCAACGAAACTCGTCAAAAACCCGCAATTCGATAACAACAAAACACATCGACGTCCGGTCCATGATCATTCGAGAGACGAAAGAAAACAGACAACTCGGATTATTGGTTTGAGGAAATGGTCTCATGAACGATATCGATGTTCATGATACTTCCCATTGACGTCAATCTCGTCATCCTGCCCGTGATTTTTCATCCACGACGACTTCCCAATCGAATGTACGACGAAGAACATCAGCTGCATCATCTAGAAGGGTTCAAACACTCCCCTGAGATGATTCACAACCCCCGACTCACCGTGCACGAACGGAGCTAACGACAGCTCAGTCTGTTCTAGACCAAATCGGAGACGAATCCCTATGGGAACGATTCAGGGAAAAATTCCATCCCTCGAGACCAGACGCCACTGATAGAGACCAATACTGCACATGGTTCTCGCTATCGGGTGCGCAGTACTAGCTCTCCCGTCGATAATGGCGATCACGACTCTCTGCACTATTTTGCGACAACGAACCAATTAAGAGCTAATCCATTCTCGCCGGCTGACAACAGAAATAACGTCGTTGACTTCCCCTACCAGAGAACAACAATGTCAGCCTGAATCACTAATCGGGTTTCCCTCTGCTTCCGGATCATGCCCTGCTCAAAACACAATCGTGAACCCATCACTATTCGCCTTCAATTCGATTTTGATGGTACCTACCTACCTCACAAACCAACTCGAAGCATGGGACAGAAAGCGGTGAGAACCAAAAAAGTGAGCCGCAAGCATGGTAAAACTTCGCGCTAGAATACCGTGAAACTTATCTAATGATACCGCTCGTGGGGAATCCGGAAACCGGTCTGATAACTCTGGTGGTCTTGTTGAGCCCGGAAAGAGTGGGCTGATCTGTCAGGTGGTGTGATTATAGAGGTAGTCTTCACTTCAGCTTTCAATGTGTAAGTGTAAGGGAAAGCATAGGGCTCATCATTTCGGAGGGCTGAAAATTCACGCCGATAAACCATGGGGAAGATAACCGAAGGAGAATGTCATACACAGAAAATCCGGAGGGAAAATAATTTTTCCCCAGGATTTTTTCTCGCACAACTCTCGAACCCGTCCCATCCAGTTGAACAAACGGGGAATTTCCATCGATTTTCAGACGATTCACATTCGAGGCGCGATTCGCCACCAATAGGAGCTGCGAAACAAAATGTGGCTCAGAAAAAAGAGACGTACACAACGGCGATCATCAGGAGAATAGCACGATATTATCGCATCAACACAAGCATACTCGGTCCAATTCAACAATAACGCATTCGCAATAACTGGCGTCACTGGCTCGACAGTCGACACGGGATCCTCGGGTGATGGGGAGCCGGATGGTGTGGAGGTCCCGAACTTAATGGTTGCCTCAAGAACCGACACCAGCCAGCGAATAGGTACTCCAACAGCGGCAACTACCAGGCATCGAAGGACGAACATCGCCCACAAGCAAGAGGAAACCCTTGCAGACCCACGACGCTAAGGAAGAGATCGCCGCCGACAACGACGAACGCAAACCTCTTCAATGTTCAACTGATTCGAAGCGCCACGAGGAGCTTCCGCAACCTGCGCCGCAATGAAGATACAACCATTGACGCCAGCCTGCACTTTCGGACGACTTCCTTGTATCCGTCAGGTCGAAGATTACGGAATCCAATTCTCCGAACAGCACTCGGATGTTTATTACCAGAACGTGTCTAATCCAGGATCCTGATGTGCTCTGAGGCCCTCTCCGAAAAGACGCGGGGGTCTCCGAGCGTTTGGTCGGTTGTTTTCTGCGCTCGGGGAGTCGGGAAGAATGATGACAACGCTCGCAATCGAAACTTTTTCTCAACACAGCACTCTTCGGAGAGTTGTCGTGCGTGGAAGCAGAACAGATCCTTGCTCTCCTTCGACTCTCTCGGAAGCTCGAGTGCTGCGTCGAAGTCATGGACGCGGAGCGCTGCATTTAAATCAATGAGAATTGCCATGACTGTCTGTCTGGATGAGGTCGGAAGCTCCTTGACGATAGGCCGAGGAGATTCTCGTGTGCGACGAGACTGGGTTTGCTGCGCCTTCGTCAGAGCGAATGCCTACATCCTCGAAGCAAGTGAGCAGGAGATCCGACTGGAGCACGCGGCTGCCATTTCAACTCTGACTGAAGGAGGAGCAACGTAGAATTGCGGAAGGTTTTCTAGCATTCGTGGTTGCAGGGAAAATTTGGACATTGATGAGCAGAATTTATGTGCTCCATAAAGGCGCCACGGTTCGAGTCACCTGAGCTCATGCAAGGATTGAGGCGGCTCGCAGAAACATTCGTATCCTTGATCCTATCTAGATCTCCTTGCACCATGGATGTTCGGGGTTCTGCGCAGCGCATCGATGTTTCCACACCGTAATTGAAGTTACCGCGAATGATCGGAGAGCGATCTATATCCGTGATCGTCCCCGGGTCAAGTCGCAAGCGCAGATTCTATATTCCGAACTCAGCGTTCGATATGATGAGCGTCCGATCATCGGTGCGGGCCCTGGATTCATAAGTACTTAATTCTGCCCATGAGCTATGGATCAAATGATAGGCTTCACTAGCGAATTCGACCATCGGCCCTCTAACCATTCCCACATCTACTCCACCTGATTAGCTGATCTCAGTTTCCCAGGTCAAAATATCCATGGGATTACTTCATACATTCACCTCTGCCTCTCGGAAAAAATCAGATTTCTCACACGCCCGAGCGGTCGGCTCTTCAGTCCCATTCCCTCTGCCGGCTCTAGACCCAGAATCGCCCTCCGGGTACCCTGGTTCCTCCTCTGTGTCTCTTTCCCGGCTCTCGTCGTCACCTCTGCCAGCCACTTGCACGTCGACCGGAACAGAGACGGAAAAAACGACTGAAGGAGCGAGGAGTTCCTCGATCGATGTGCGTTCTGGGAGCGGGACGTTCCAGGAAAGTCAAGTGATTTTCCCTATGAAGCACAAGATTCCTCGAGGAATCGACTGGATTTCATATATGATGGGTCGATCATTTCCCGTTGAGAAGTTTCGATTCCACATGCGGCTCATTTGACCCTCTCTGTCGCGACAGAGCCTGCTGTGCAATCTGCGCTTCATGCGAGAGACACATAGTTCTTGTTCCTGAACATGGTCATTAATCCGCATCGCGAATCGGGCGCCGCTTGTCTCGTGCCGACACGAGAAGGGAGACGATGATTCCCGATGTGACATTTCCCTGGCACAGCTGGTCTCTCTTGTTAGTAGGGAAGAGTTTATGAGGATAACCTCGTCCGACGGCGCGCGCCCGCAGACAGAGGCCATCTCCGAAGGTCACGGCATCGACTCTGTGCCGTGACTCAATCGTCTGATCTCCATTGGACATGATGGTCGCTCGCCCTCCCTCGTGAAGCCAAATCTAATGAAAGGAGGGAGCTGGGGGAAAGCGATGCTCTCGAGCGCACCGACCTGGAGTCGAGAGCCTCAGCGGCGCGAGGTGTACGCTTACAAACCGATTACCGGAGAACATCTGCGCAGATATGACGTCGTTCTGATGCTGTGAGTAAGAAGAGCACCCGATCCATCGGATAATGAGGGGACTCCTCGTCAATGGCCACGTGCGCAACTGGGGACGTATCGATCATTGGACCGTGTTCGGACTTGAGTCTTGAGCACAGTCGCTCCGAAACACTGTGTTGCATTGACACGGACTGGAGATTGTCAGAAGGGACCGCGTAAGGAGACCAGAGCGGGAAGGAAGGACTCTCCTAGCGGAGCCTGTCGGAGCTTCTCCTTGTTCTCGTCCTTGGAATATAAATCGCTCAATCACTGTCGTTCGTTCATATGCTCCGACTGATGAGGAGGCTCTTCCGCAATCTGGAAGAGTAGAGGAACGGCTCCCTGAACCTATACAAAACGAATGGCTTGTTACTCCGCGATTTGATAGAACTCACAGCCGATGAGAATTGCCGATCGGCATTTCGAGTCGTTCCGACGGTCGTTTGCTCCCCGATTTACGGTTATTCCGATAATCCAGGACGACCATTCCCGGCAGAATTCGGAGTAATGGCGGAAAACTGAGGCGGAAGTCGCATGCTATTCGAATCTGCCAGGAGATCATCGTTACTCGTGAAGCCAATGACGTATTCAAGGCGATGGACAACTCGCGCATGTCTCCCAATCTAGCACAGTGCTTTTCTTCCGGTCCACCCTGACTGACGTTGAGCTATGGTGAGGCTAAGGCATACATTCTATGAGTGCGCTGTGCTCGATACGGGATAGAAGCGCCAGGGGCACGCGCTACAAATCTGCAGAAATGTGCAGATCTCCGTGGCCTCCGCTGAGCGAACGGAAGCAAAGCCGAGTCTCGTCCAGCATCGATTCCAATGCGCGACCCTGAGCTCGATAATTAATGATTATCGTTCGGGACCGACTTGTGGTGGAACACCTTACATGGCTCCGTGTATAAGGTTTCCGAGCAAGGAACATGTTTCCCCAGCTCATGAGACCGTCTGTTGAAGGGGTGCGGTGAGACAAGGGAAAATCCCCGTAGCTTCCGATATAATCCTCCTGACGGTTTGGCCTTTGTGTAGAAAGGATCCCCTCGCTGGAGGAGCCGCCATTTATTGCCAGACTGTGAAAAAGAATCGCGCCTTCGTCCCTGCGCATCGATAAATTTACAATATCACATTCCATAAGGCGTAGACTCTACGCCGTAGAGGACGATCGTCTGTCGGAGTTACCAAGAATCGTAAATCTGAGAAGACTTCTATGAGATCGAGGATTCCCTCACGACCGCTCCAGAGAACGACCTGTCATCCGCCGATGAATCACGTAGAGCCAGGGAAGACTCGTCAGAGAGAGAAGACTGGCGTTCAGGAGGTACATGAGACGGTAGTCACCCAGCTGATCTCGGAAGATACCTGAAAGGTGACAACTTTGAGCTCCTGGTCGATCCTGTCCCATTGAATACCGAGACCTCTACAGAGCTCATCGAAGACCCACCTATCGCGAACGGCATCAAGAGAAACACGAGCCCACTGATTGCACCCTGCATGCCCAGGGTGAAAGCCATACGTTCCAGACCGAGGTACCGAGCGATGATGCTCATGTAATAGGAGCTGCAGAGGCCGAAGAATCCGCCGAAGATGCTCACCGCCGCTAAAAAGGAAGTCAGTGATCTACAGAGACACAAGATCACCAAGAACACGCAAGCCGTGAAGTAGGACAGCGTCATCAGAACGTCGCGCTGGATGAGGCCCCAATCAGCCAAGGCGGGTAGCAGGATCCGGCCTATTGGAGAATTCAAAATATCGTATCTCTAATAACGATCTGATACTCAAATGATATCGATCAGCTTCGAGATCCGGGGCCGCCAACTATAAACCGACCTGTAATGTCAGCAATGGAGTAGCATCCGAGAATCAGTACAGCATTCTCAACCGTGAGCCCCTTCTGAGCGCCGTAGTCTACGAGAGTCGCCATGAACGTATCGAATACCCACTGGAAGATGAGGTTCACGCACAAGAACACGTAGAACATCGGCTCCCGGAATATATCCCAAGCGAACACCGAAGTCCTCGGACCTGTAGTTTAGTCGAAAGGTCAGGGGAAATCCAGCGAGGCTTCGGGCAGTTAGCCGTCAGTTTCTAATTCATCTTCCGAGACTTTACATTAGTGCGCCGTGAGTTCGCTACGAGCTCGGTTCTCACCATTGCCCTTTAGTCTTCTGCACCATGGCGCTGTGTCCACGAGCAGGGTCAGCGGGGCACAGCTCATCAGTATGACGCCTATGGCCAACATGGCGCACTTGAAGCCGTGATGATTTTTCACGAAAGTGAACAACGAGGGGAACAGCATCGAGGCCACGGGTGAAGCTGCGTGACCTATCCCGATGGCCAGACCTCGGTAGCGATCGAAGTATTGTGAAAGTAGAACGCTGGACGCGACGAGGATGGTCCCTGCCCCGAATCCATGGACCGCCGCGAATGCGAAGGTCATGACCTGTACGTTGGGCGCGAGATATCCGAGAGCGAAACCAAGGCCGCTCAAGAAAACTCCCATGAAGAGGATGGGTCGCAAAGGGTATCTTTGTGCCAAGGGACCAATCACGGCACCTGCAGGAAAATAGGGGTTAGTCCCCCGCGGGGAGAGGGCGATTCTTCTGCGGTTCCCCTTGTCGTCTGTCGGTTCCTCCATCAATGAGCCGATCTCGAGTCGCAGAATCACTCACCGGAAAAGAGCGTCCCGAGGTTCACGATACTGCTGGGCCATGATGCTTCACCCTTCGAGACGTTAAACTCTTCAGCGATTGAGACGAGGATGAGACCTGAACATCGGAAACCCACCGCGGATCCGCATATCGCTAGAGTGCAGATCGCGCACACGAACCAAGACCTGAGACTGTCGTAACGTGGCTTCTCGTCTGAGCTGGAGACGCTCTTGTCCTTGGTCTCCGGTGCTGGCAGCGCTTGGCATGCTTCCGCGTCGGTTGCTCCGAGCTCGACTAGTCCCTGGCACATTGGAGGCGTCCCGTATCCTGGTTCGTCGAGGGAATTCCCCGGTGCGATCTGATGGGAGTTCGAAAGAGAATTGCTTATGAAGCAAGGATCCTCCCCCGCATTCAGCGAGGAAGGTGCAAATGAGACGGACTCATAAACATTCGGTATTCTATGAGAGACTTTACAGCGTAACTTCACCCTGTAAAACTGATAAACCGAGAGGGAGAGTGAGACGATAGTCTCGTAGATTTGGATGCTATAAGAAGGATAGACGCACTGTGTGATAAGGCGGGACGTCGCTTGAACATCTATCGCACGAATAATAGGCTATAATTAGTTTGATTGGGTTGGACTTCTCATACAAAACTGACTCCCAGAAACCTAGCATTACCGAAGGATCGGAGAGCCTCGGCATGGAATCCTCTTCAGCACATTGGAAAATGATTTTGTGACTCAAGTCCCAAGCTCAGCGTCGGAATCGAGCAAAGCAGAGCGTAGTCGAAGAGGAGATCCGGGAACATTCATGGTCTTTGGCCTTGAAACATGGTGCTTGACCTCGAAAGCCCGATTCCAAATATGGAACCGTGCTAGTGCATCTCCGGAATCTCCCGGAGAACGCGGCTTCAAGGGTAGGCTCCACCATCGGATGAGTCGACGACCTGTCGGATGAGAATTTATTTGATAAAAGCTTTCCAATGACGCAACATATCATGGAAGTGAATCACTAGCTCAAAAGCTCGCCCGCAACGCTGGTTGATTCGGGATCACCTCCACTAATGGTTGCGCTCAGTGACGCTTCCCCCATTCTAGCTCCTCGAGCCGAGAAACGAGGCACGGAGCGGTGGAGAGACATCGGAAGTATTCCAGAATAGTTGCCCAATTTGAAGGCACAAGGCCAAGTTCTGTCCCACAGTACACTGAAAGCCGTTCATCGAACGGATTTTCCAATGATCATTCCAGACTCAGAACTTTTTTTCGAAGAAAAAAGTCTCTGATACCGAACTATATTTCGATAGAGGAAGGATTTCGTCTACTCTACTGTAGCACTCTTTCGGGAGGCAGCTCTCTCGAGCCTTCGATCTCACTTTATAATCTCTCTAATCGAATTGAAGTTCTCTACCCTCGGAAGACAGTTGCGGGACCGTGGCATCGAGTCGAAAACGAATGGTTCCGTGTATTCACTTTCCTGAGGGAACGGCTCCATGGAACGGATTGTCCTTAACGAGGTTTCACTGTATGGGTCACAAACATAGATCCGAATTACTCGATATTCTGCCTTCAAACACCGTGAATATTCCAATACAAGCCCGAGCTCTTATCATTCCAAACCCCTTCGCAGAGGGGCTTCTATTACAGGGAGCTCCTCATGCTACGCGCGGTTTTGCAATGACGGTGATTAGGAAGAAGAGAATCGGGAAACTGAATTTCTCGCCACTCCTGAAACTCGAGGTATGTTTTAGAACAGAGCTTCTCGGAAACCCGATTCGATTCCCCTGAAGGGGAATCCTGTCCTGTCCGAGACGGGCTACTTTAATTTGAGACGGACTTCGACTCGAGAATTCCGCCGAGGGGCCACTATTGGAGAGCGGCTCGTACTGGAATATTTACGGTACGTACCTGTTTTCCTTCCCCTCGACCGATCCGTAATCAAGAACTGGAAATGTATCGAGCGGATTTCGATCAGGTCAGCCTGATGGTGTGCGATTTTTTTTTCGGCGTCCCCAGTATCTCATATGAACGAATAGGGGAGGCACGCCTGTCATCGCTCGACCAGCTCAACGGTCCTCTCGGCTATAAGTCCTTCCGGTCGGAAACAGGGTCTGAGTCAGGTCTCTCTAGACTGCCTCATCAAAAAACTGAAGATATGACATGCCTTATCCGATACACCAGTAATTCGTCAGTAAGATGACTGGAAGCGATTCGAGTGCAGATTATATGGAACGTGTCCCTCGCTTTTCGGGTTCAATCATTCAATCATCCTTCCGCAGATAAGTTCAAGATAAGCTCGAACTGGATGAACCCCTCTGCGGAAGCGACACCCTGCGTGAAACAGGGTCATAAATCGCAGCAGATGGAGTTGAGTGCTCGGAGCTCTCTCAATCAGCTGAGTGGCCGGGTAATTCGCTAGATCGTGGGGAGATATGCAAGAGTTTACCTGCCTGCTGTCTGAATGTCTCGTCCGGAACAGATCGACCACGACCTCCATGATGGCAGATATTACTCCAACCCATCCCTACAGCACTTGGAGCCGCTCGTTGATCAGACCCCCATCGCTATGACTGGTCAGGTCTAAAAAATTCCATCTCAACCGCTTCGCGAACCTATACAACAGGCTGGATGACAGTTTCAAAAACGCGACAAATAGAGCCCTCGTGAGAAAACTGATCAGATCCTTCATTTCTGACCTCCCGGAGTCTGAGTTCGAGTTCTGATCGCCTGAATGTTCTCTCTCCGCCGCTACCGCCATGCATACTCACTCTTACTCTCACCCCGAACAATGTATTCCCCCTGCTAAAAATTTTCCTCAGAGCCAACGTCCATGTTTCTAGCCTCAATTCCCCCCCTCCCTCCACCCTCCCAGAAGTTTCGTTTATTCCTGCCTCCCGTGGCGTGCCCAGAGGGGGGCAAGGGGTTATGGCCCCCCTCAAGATCTCTTCTTGGCCCATAGAGTTCCATGTTGAAGCTCATCATCATCGATACTTAGTCTCTACCAAACAATGGCCCTGGCCCCCCAAAAAAAAATCCTGGACACGCGCCTGCCTGCCTCATCCACATATTCTCGTATCCTCGTATTCGGGCATATCCTCGTGGAATTCTTTTCAATTTTGTAAACTCACAATGTAATAAAGGCGTATTTAAAAAAAAGTCAGGACCAGTGGAGGACACGGTCGGAGCTCACACGGGTCTGTCTTAGCGAGATAGCGCACTAATTGCAGTAATCGGGGCCCGACTCTCAAGCTGAACACTGTCAGTCTCACCGAACGGTGAAGTGGCGCGAGGGGCGATGGATATAGTGTGCTGATCTCGGACGATCAAAACCCGAAAGGTTGACATCGCATTCGGGGCGTGCTCTGATCTCGAATCCTTGCTAGGCCTCGCTTCAAACGGATTCTCATGCTCGCGGTATCCCGTGTGACGGTGCATGTCTCGATCATGTCGATGATCGGGTTCATGGATGGAGGAGGTGCATCGAATCCATCGCCACAGAATCGTTCCCTGCTATCCGTTGAAGGAGGCTGTGTCCGCCGCGGACTCCCGCGGACAGCACTGGCGTGGCTTCCTCCGCCAATATTATACTTGAAAGACGGAGTAGATTGAGTAGGGGAGCCCCATCCAGCTCTCGAATAGACATCGATTCTCGAGTTTTACTGGAGTGTATCATTCCTGGATTGCTAGTAAAACTGTGGCATCATAGAAGAGGTATTTCCTCCACGTCGTACTGGAGCTCCTCATCAAATGACTCCTGTTTAGACTCAAGAGACTGTGGCCCATATCGCGAGGGTCGGATTCCTCTCCCGCGAAGCCTGTAAGGCATCCAAGCGCTGATTGAAGGTCCCAGCAGGAATGAAGCATGCGATCTCTCGATCCCGATGATGCGAACCAACTCCGCCTGTCGAGGGTCCACGAAGATTGTATCCTACACGAATTTCAGGAGACGAGCGATCGCCCCTTGCCTGTTTTGATTTCCCCATTTCACTTATGTAGGAGCCGCGCGGGCCCATGAGCGCCCCTCCCGAAATACATTACGTGCCTCTACCCCCCTTCCCTCGACGAAAACTCCGCTCCGCCACCCTGCGGGAAACATCTTGGAAGCCCCTCGGGAAGCTCTGGAGATGGCCCTGTCGGATATCCAGAGTTTTTCAAACAGTGATCCCTTCTCACTTGGAAAAAATTGGATTGCTCGACAGACTCACGGGAACCCGGATGCTTCGAAGGCTGAAGTGATTCAACCGTCCCTCAGAGCTTCTCGTGAGCAGACCCATCATCGTAGGGTCTCTGCGCGTTCCCATGGAGTATGGAATGTTCTTTCCACCGCTTTTCGTCAGGTCTATCCGTTTCGAACTCCGTATCGGAATGTCTCCGTGTCGTACTCGCTGGTGACCTTCCCGGCATTGCGGCAAATTCGAGAACTACGGGGAAAACACCCCAAAAGTATTCAATCCATATTTCTCTCACTTCGAGATTTTTCGCTCATGAAGCTCGGCCCGCCTGGTTGATTTGGCTCAGTACGTCATTCATGCTGTCCCGCAAACTACTCATCTTTCTCTTCCCCTTCGGGGACTTCGCGGTGTATGAGGCCTCGTTTCCAGATCTGGATGTCTATGAATCCGTATCGCCAATAAAGTGCACATCTTCAGGTGACTCGCTAATGGCCTGTTGCACACTTCGGGGCAGTTCCGTGAGAACTTCGAACTCGATACGATGACTCCTCACTCCGGCGTACCAGGAATTGTTTGAGCTTATTCTCATATCGCCTGCCTGATTAAGAGGCTCCCTAAGCTCCTTCATCGAGCCGCCCGAGAAAAGCTCCGCTCTCCGGAATGGGGGTTGCTACGATAACCTCTATGAGAACTCCGCTACCCCGCTCTTCACCCAGGCGCGAAGTACCTTGGGATATCGCCGGGATTCGCGATCATGCCTTAATAGGCTTGAGAGCAGCTCAATCTCAAATAATTGCCGCCTTGACCCCCGTCCGACCCGGAAGGTGTCTCGAAACACGAGGGCAATCATCCAGAGTCCGGAGAGCCCTAATTGGTCGTGTTAAGAAAGTCTTCGGATGGAGTCACTCGCCACCGGGGTGTGAGGGGCAGTAGACTCTGCCGAGAAAGTACTATTCAAGAGCGATGCTACGCCATGTCCGAGCATCGGACCTCAAACCCTTGAAGGACGCCAACATGCAACGCAAGTAAGTCTGAATTCCGAGTTTTCCTCGTTTCCGGCAGCTCTTGTCGAGGAATCGATCGACAAAATATCCTTCGGCTCGCCCTCAGTGTGCAGGCCTCCGTCTCAGAATGGGTTAGGTTTTTTGGGATTGATGGAGAGCCATGGAATCTTCGACTCAGTC